TGTGTGTGTGCGTGCGTGCGCGCGCGTGTGTGTGAGTGTGTGTGTAAGTGTGTGTGTGTAAGTGTGTGTGTTGGAAAGGGCTGGGATTAAAGATATTAACACAACTATAAAATGGAGACAATGGAGATATTTAGGACAAGTTTTGGGGATTGCCACAGACAGGATTTCCCTGCCAGATGTGATACTGGAGACCAGCTGGAAATAGAAGAAGATGCAGACCAACAAGAAGTTACAGAAACACAATCATGGATGAAACTATCATCTACGACCTAGAAATGAAAATATTAGAGATGTGGCCTGCGGTAGACAAGTGTGACGTCGATTGGTCTCTGTACATAATGTATAAAAATGTACCTGACGGTACATGGAGAGAGTTGAGTAAGTAAGTATGTATCGGTAAATAGTGTTTGTTATCGTTAGGCCACAGTCATATATGGCACAGTCTAGACAACCAAAAACAAAACAAAACAAAACATTACAAACTTGTGAACTTACTTTTACTAGTACTAGAATCTACTTGTAGGGCATGTGCTCTTTTTACATCCCCCCCCCCCCCTTTCTTCCTCGATGTTTCAGTCGGTCAGACTTGCTTTTTTCCTGTCTCCAAGTGCGGATTTATTTTCTTTTTCATTGTAGTATTTAGAGTCCCCGTCTAGACTATCTATGTTGCATCCCACTCATCCTTGGTCGGCTCAGACAGACAGGGATGAAGTGGCCCACCTCCTGAATTATGATTTAAACTTTGTCAATGGGGCCGAAGTTTGTAGCTACTACAGTGGAACCCGGCTATAACAGGACCGCTAGGACCGACGTCATGTCCCTGTTATAGCTTGTATACCCCGAGACGTGCTGATATCAGCATGTCTCGCTGTATCTTGTTATAAACGGGGATCGATGCAGTTTATTTTTACACTGCAACAAATGATTAACATTTAGGGCGTTTTTATTACATATGTTACGCACAACCAAATCACAGTTATTTTTTTCCTCAATTTTTATTTTCCCTTTTTCTAGCTTCCTAGCTGGGGGTCGACTAGACTAGACATGATTCGAGATGCACGAATATTACTTATTAGGCTTAATAGTAATAGCCTACTTATTGCAATTACAAAGCATAGCAACTATCAGATAATCTATTCAACAGAGCTACTTCGTGTTCCGTGAGCATTACAGCCTTTCGTATAGAAAGTTACCATGGTTGGAAAGGAGCACACATGTCAGAGATGCGTGGAATATTTAGCACGCTGAGTTTGTGTTCTGTAGGAAAAGCAAGATTTGATTACCGTCAGCGAAAAAGGTGCTTAGCTACACAGTTATATTACGCAATACGCTCCGGCCTTTAGCAAGATTTTGCGATGAAGAGATTATAACATTTTAATAGAAATATATGCATATAAACAAATGATTTATGATCAATATAATAATAAAATGGCATCAACAGAACAGTTAAATCAACAGCAGGAGAAGAAATACTTACTAAAGAGCTTCGAAAACAAAAACTTGAGCAATTATGATTCTTCACCAAAAAACTAAACCCAACAGCTGACAAGTGTGTCGGGATGGTGAGAGAAGTGTGTAGTGTAGAGAACCCTGTTAAAATTAAGACCACTCATTCCAACAATGAGGCTATGGTTCGAGCTATCGTTCAAGAACTGATGACACATTTTATTTTCACAGCCACGTTTCGATACCGGTCTACTTGACGGTCTACCACAAGTTTGGTCCGACTGATTACGTATACGGCGATTGACGGGTTTTATACCGTGTATTATGGCCTACACGGATGTAATTAAAATCGTATACTTTCACTCCAACACTCCGATACACCTCACTACTTTCACAAAATCAATCCCTCCCCCC